CTTAAGTAAAATTATTGTAGATATAATTCTTTAGTTTTAGTTTGCTAATAATAATATATACTCATACTTTTTTTTCAATTCAGTCTCTTTTTGTCTGCATAAACCTTCTCTCAACTGATAGTAATTGTATGGGAGGTATAAAAGTAAATTGAGCCAGGACAAAACCACGACACTACCACAACTACCCTTCTTTTTTTCCTTATAGCTGTAGTTGTAACCTGTCTGGTAAACAGGGTGCAACCTGCAGGCAGATCTTCCTCTTGCCTGACCTCTACTTGACTTTCTGAGTCTAGGGCCTCATATCTGTTGTTCAAGGGCACCCGGGGAGGTGATGGAGGTCGAGAGGGTGTTCTTTTACCTCTCCGAACAGGGACCTGTTTCCATTCCCCCCCATTCGCTCGGTTTGCTCCACCTGCCTGGCAGCAGGAGGGGCAGGGCGTCACTGTCTCCTGCTGGACTTCCTTGGGGGTCGAAAGGGTGTGACTCCACCAGTCTATTTCTGTTTTACTTTCCCTAATGCTTCTCAGCCTTTACCTCTTCCTTGAGCTCTGCTAACATGCTGTCGTGGTTTTGCTCTGGGTCAATTTTTTCTCACCTCCCACACAACTACTATAAATTGAGAGAAGGTTTATGCAGACAAAAGAGATCTGATTTGGGAAAATAATATTAACATTTATTACTAGCAAGATAAAAACTAAAGAACTACATCTACAATAATTTTAATTAGATAAGAGTACTATGTATTTACAGAAATACCCCTCCCCCCTTTGTATCAGTTCAAGGAGGAGAAAGCAGTCTCATTCTCCATTTCCAGAGCTCCAGGTCTTTAGAATAACTTTGCAGCACTCAAAAGTTCTTATTCTTCTATCTCTAAGAAGACAACTTCGATCTGTTGCAGCTGGAACCATTTCTCTTTATCTCTCTCTTCTGTGTCAGCCTCAGGGCTGGGCCTACCCCCTCCTGGGCTAAGACCGGAGGCTGGGGGGTTACCCAGGCCCTGAAGGTCTTCCATGGACTGCAAGGGGCCACTTGCCTACCATGGATCTTCACCACAGGGTCACAGGGGATAATAGCTTTTGAGTCCACCCCTGTTTCCTGTGGGGTCCCTCCCCACAGGAGAACAGTCCTTAATAGACTTTTCCAACTAAGTCCATCTCTCAGACAACAAGGTCTTCCATTCTCTGCTGTCTCTCAGGGTCACAAATTTAGCTGCACCAGCATGGATCCTTTACCTGGATCCCAACTCAGGGTCACAAATCTCCAGCACCAGCATGGATCTCTCACTGAGATCCCAAGCTTACCCGAGCCATCTCGTCCAGCGTAAGCCTCTCTTAGGGTCACAAATCTCCAGCAGCAGCATGGATCCCTCACTCGGATCCCAACATCTTACCCAAGCTGTTCTACTCTGGAGTAAGTCTCTCCATGATTTACAAGCCTCCAGCAGGACTCTGTTTCATTTCAGGCCTTCTCATGAAGTCTCAGTTTCTTCGTGCATCCACAAGCTCCTCTATGAGCTGCATGGGTATCTCTTCACCCCAATAATCTGCCACAGGTGGCAGGAATTTATTTTTCAGTCTTCCCCTGCGGAAGGGAGGGGGGAGGCAAGGGGGGAAAGAAGCAGCTCCCCCCTTCGAACTTCTCTCTCAAGGCTTTGGCCTTGAACACTTCGTTATCTCTCTGCCAGAATTCCTTTTGCAGCATGTCTTGTCCAGGTTCTTCTCTAAAGGGTTTTTTTTCTTCTCTATTCTGTTATAGGAGAAAAGGGGGGCTTCATGACCCCAGCCCAGGGCAGGGGGAGGAGGGAGGCCTGGCCCCCACCTGGGGCCTGACACCAGTCTCTACATGGCTCCTAATTTCAACTGCACCACAGCCTTCTCTTCCGTTTTCTTAAATTTGTAATTTGCAAAGGCATTACTAAGAGTTTTGATTGGCTTTTTCTCCAGAAATCCACCTACACAAAACCATCCTAAGCCCCAGGGGCTGGCTGGGGCAAAACCACGACACATGCACAGAAAATCATTCACCTGCTCTCATTTCACACAGGTGCCTCTCACAATGTCCTCTGGTACTGATGCCAGGCTCAAAGAGTCTGTGCAGCCAGAGACCTGAATGGCTGCATCCTTCTTGGAGGGTTCTGTCTGTGTCAACACAATCCTACTGGTAACGAGAGCGACAGCATACATTCTTTTGGAAACCATTATTGGCTTTAGTTGAAAAGTGAGGGGGAGGAGGGAAAAAAGCTCATCTGAGAGACGTAGGAGGTGGCTGTGCCCTGTTCGCCCTGCCTGTGTGAACTGCCATGCAAACTGCTGTGCCACACACTCACTGACTTGCCGCGCTCCAGGTCACCGCGCTCCCTACAGACCTTCATATAGCCCTCTGTAGTACCTGCTAACGAGCCTGTCCTGCCCCTCTCTCACCTGAGTCGGTTCCCCAGGTGCAGATAAAGCCCAGGTTTGTGCATGTTCAGCCAGGAGTGGGCTCTGCTGAGAGCCACAGTTCCAAGGGAGCAGGGACTCCGATCCACAGAGGCTTCTACATCTGCAGGCCAGCAGGTCTCACCAACGCTCTGGGCACGATGAAGGCTGTGGGCAGAAGTAACGCAGGCATGCAGGACATATTCCCTTTCTTGGTCCTCCACAGACGGATAAATAGAGCACCCTGGCGATGGGAACAGATGACCTTGCCACTGGAGGACCTTGTCCAGACGTGCGTGGAGCCTCTTGCCTTGCAGCAGCATCCCGAGAGCCATGGATTGGGCACCGGTGGCTCCAGGACTCTTTCAGCTGTGCAACTTGCTGCTGGCAATGCCTTCCCTCCAGCCAGAAGGACGTTTACGGCTTCTAGGCTTTTCCTTGCCAGTTGCATCCTCAGGCACGACACAAGTCTCCTGACAGCTGCAATTCCAAAGGAGAAGGGAGACGAGAGAGGACTCCCTGTGGACAGTACTCCAGCAGGTCTCCCAGAGCCTCTGCCAGGGATGGAGTCTCTTGCCACAAGGAACTGCGGTGCCGAGATCTTCCTGCTCCTGCCGTATTGCATTGCAAGAGAGCCCTGGACTTGGGAACACCAGCTTTTGCTGAAGGAGACAACCCCCCGCACGTTGCTGCACAGGATCCTGATGTGGCACTGCCGCAGCTTCCTGGGAGGCAGGAGTCCTATCCATGGAGACTTATCGAGCTGGAGTGCAGTATTTCTCTTGGAGGCTCTGGGAATGATGAAGGCCCTTGGCTCAAGCAAGGGATGTGTAGAGATATTCCACATGTCACTCCTGCAAAGCAAGCTCCTGAGAGCATCCTGGAGATGGGAACAGCTGCTTTTTCCCACTGGAGGATATTGTCCCATATGGCATTGCCCTGGCTTCCTTGGAGCCATGGATTGCGCACCAGCAGCACTCCCTTGCTAGTCTGTCCTTCTCTCTGCACATCTTTGTCTAAATCTTCCTGTTGGTTTCCCATTCCAGGAGCATTGGAATACAGGCATTTCAGGAAGTGTCCCAGGAGGACAGTCCATAGTCATATCTTGTAGGCTCGTGAGAAGAAGAGAGCTCTGCTGAATAGAAGTAAAAAAGAAACAAAAATGTAGAAAAGTAGTTACCGGTCTCATCTTAAAACAGAAGTCAAAGCAGTGCAATAGAACATCGAGCAAACTATATTTTTTATGACACCTTTGATACAGCTTAGAAGTCAGAGTTTTAACCAGGAATTGCAAAATATCCATGTTCTGCTCCTAGCAAGTTTTATTAAACTCTTCATTTCTATTTCTGTCCTGCTTCCTGGCATACAAACTTTGTCTGCAGGTCAAAGAAGGACAGACTCAAGCTTGTATAGGAACTACATATCTTGAGTTCATTCACGTTACAAGGCTGTAAATATTCCTGACTTCTAATCCTTAAAACATCACCTTTTCAGTGGAGATTATTAAGAGGAAAAATAACTAAATTGAGTCATGAAAGAATAAATGAGTTTACTCGATTTTTTCGGTATTTCAGTAATCAAAACCTTTAAGCCCTTTTCACAATAGAGACATTTGTATTTACAGTGTTACCATATGGCACAAGATTCAATTCAACAGTCATCCTTTTTTCTGATTCATCTATGTCAGAACTATAGACTTGAGTTTTTCATTCCTTTCATACTGACAGCATGGGATCAAGAACTAGGAAATATTAGGACAAAAGTTCATCCAATACATACCCCCAAAAATACTTCCAAAAATATACATCAATTTTTAAAGTGAAGATTTTTTCATTGGTCTTGAAGGGGCAGTTTCTTCCACTAATCACTCAGGATGGAGCAGGGAACAGAGGGGACCACAGTGTGCTGTGCAAGGCTCCCATGATGTAGAGTCCAGGCTACCTTGCAAAGATTTAAATAACCTTGGCACGAACAACAAACTGTCAGTGCAATTTCCAGGCCTACACAGGAAAAGGATGCAAGTATGGGGCCTTAAGGGCAGCTGGGAAAATAAAACATGCAATTATTCCAGCAAAGCCAAAGGCAGCCTAAAGCACTTCAGAGACTGAGGGGGTCCAGCAGCCCTAGAAGCTCCCCCTCAGTTTTCCCTTCCTCTGGATTGACTTCTCTCAAATCAAGCACCTTGAAAGCACTGCCCCTGGGAGAGCTGGAAAGGTGTTGGGCTCTGTATTTTCACTAAAGGCATCTCTATACATGGGAGTAGATCCAGCTCTGACACAGAGCCAAGCTACAAGATACATTTGTTTTCTAGGTTGGGAGAGCCCCTTTTTCTCCTGCCTAAACCATCCTTTCCAGGAGTGCTGCAACAAAACCAAAACACAGACTTAGCAAGTTTGGTTTCAGCATCAGAAGAATACTCAGTTGGTCACGTACCATATTCTCAGGGGCTGAGAATGTCACCTGGGAGCCAGACTAATTGATACCAGCTTTCACAAACACTTCCTTTAGATTAGAACAATCATTTAACATCAGCTTCTCCAGTTTGGTATTTCCCCAGATAACCTCTTGAAAAGCAACAAAAAATAAATAAATAAATCTTTCTTTGGGCTTCTTACTGACTGTAGGTTCTGACTGTCACAAGCAACTGCAGCAGACAACTTCTTTCATAAAGACATCACAGAACTGTTTGCCTCCTCTCCTAAGTCTCTGGAAACTGCTTCCAGAGCTCTGCTACTCGGAAAGGTAAGGCCACCTCCCAGCTCTGGGGGATTTCAGGACTCTTGATACATGCAACTTGTCAACCCCAAGGGCATTTGGGAGCTGAGGGAGTATGGGGGGAATTCCAGGTAAAAGACTTTTCTAAAAAAACGAGGCATTTCAGTGCCTCAACTCATTTACTTTAAGCACAGCATTGCCTGCATGTTCCTTCACTACAACAAGGATAATTGTCCAGCCACCTTTTCTCCTTCAGAACACTACAGAGTGTGTCCTTCACAAAACCTTGGGGTTAGTTTGCCGGTGTCAATAAACTCTATTCACCTCAAAAAAAAAAAGCAAAACCAAACAAACTAATGAAAAAACCAAACCAAAAAGTGTCTTTTTTCCTTTCCCTGGATTCTGTGTCAGCTTTAAAACACCCCAGGGATGATGCTGGCAGGGCACTGTAGCAGTGTAGTGCTTCCAGTCCTTCCCATATTTGCTGGAACAACGGTGCTCGTCCCTAACGCAGCGGTGGGGGAGCAGAATGGTCACAGAAACGATGCAGAAGTAAGGCAAGACGTGTGCAAACCCACAGGCCAGCCAATAGGCCAGCGAGCCCAGCAGGTCTCCTGCAGAGTTGCAAGGACGAGCCCACCCCCAAAATCTCCAGGTCATCAACTTGCTGGAATACTTGGTGCCATCCACACACATGGAGGAGCACTCGATGTCCTTGGCTTTCTTCCCCCAGATCCTGCAGTTCCCATCTGTACGACAGAAAAGGTCCTTCTCTGGTGCTTGGTCACTCGGAAGATGTGGTAGCCAATCCAGCCCAACATCAACACCCCCACGGCATTGGCTGTGCCCAGCTGGACAGGCTGGGAAACCAAAGACAAACCCTGGGGAGCACAGAAACAACAGTCACTGACTTGCAAGATGTGCTCAGCATGCCAGACCAGTTACTTGACTACAGTGACCCACAACAGACGAGAAGAAAGGATGGAAAAACCCACTCCACCGCTACAACTCTGGAAAATTTGCACAAAACTCTGCATCTTCCATCTCCCTTCTCTCTTTCTCTCTCCAAAATTGCACTTCTCTGTGAAACAAGAAGAGAGAAGTTGCCAGGATGCAAACAAAGCAGGAGAGAAGGAAAAAGCCAAAAATCCAAACTCTTCCCTGTATTGATTACCTTGGGGTCTCCTCAGTACAAAGCACAGCACCACATGGACTGTTCTGAGGTGTGCAGGCATTTGGACTTCTGCCTGTCTCACACACACACAGAGTCAGGTGTAGTGCTGCCCTCAGAGAAAACCCACCCAATCTTGCTGCAACTAAAGCCATGGAATTTATCTTTCTTTCATTGGCATTCAAGATCAGGCTGTGCCTGTGTCCAGAACAGAGGCTCAGAAAAGCATTTCTTAAGTTTCCACTGAAATCTGGTGCAGACATGACCAAGGCACTGGTGGCACTCTGAGTGAACAGTAGTGTTTCCAGTGGCTCTGGACACTGTGTCCAAAGAAGTCCCACTACTTCAGCAATGAATGAGCCTCTTCAGGCCAGTTTCATTTCCTGTCTAAGTTTAATTTCCATGGAAGGAGGTTTTTGCTTACTTTAATAGGAGGTAATTTCCAACTGCATTCTTAATTTCCTCCTCTACGTTTACCTGAAGGACATTGACAAGGATCATGGAGTTTGTCACTTGGCCATGCAGCTCCTGTACTTTGGCAGCAGAGGAAAGGAGAGTCCAGGCTACAATCCCATGGCGCCCATTGAAGAAGAGCTGGAAATCAAAACCACCTTCCTATTCCAGGGTTAAAGTCAATGCCCAGCATGTAGTAGAAAACAAGTTGCCAGTGAATTTGCTGGAAAGTAGGAAAAAATAGAAAAGTACACAGTTACATACAAGTAGAGGCAAGTACTATTCTGACTAGACATTTCAGATTAATTTGATGTAGTGACAATAAAAATCATAAACCCACGTAAGTTTGTGCAAGACAACACAAACTGACCCAACCCAAGCATTACATTAATAGAGATAAATTTCAGAATTTCACAAGTGTCCTACTTTACTCTTTGTTTACACTTTTGAACAATCTAACTATAACTCTGTTTATAGGATGGAGGTATCTGTGACGCTGCCGCTGCCATCACATGTATGAAACACGGAGGATGGTGCTAATGAAGCAAAGAACCACAGTCAAAGAATCACAGTTATATATTTGTGCCAGTCATTAAATTTATAGGTCAAGTCTTCATTTAACTATTTAAGAACCAGTATTCTCTCATTACTCAAAGTCACATACCAGTCTTCGGCATTGGTAGGGAAGAAGGAGCCTTTAATCATTGCAAATGTGGAAAGTGGAGATCGCAGGATATTGGCACACCACAGCAGAGGAATCCAGTTGTCAAAAATGATGGTGGGGCAGAAGAAGTGGAAGTCATAGGCATTCGCAAACCAAAGCACGTGAGTAATGATCCAGCCCTGAAGTCCACTGAGTTCATATTTATTCACTACACCTAAAATAGGAAGAAAAAATGGACTGTTTAGAGACACTACATTCATACAGCTTTTTATTAATATACAGAAGCTCAAGCAAGTGCTCCTGAAATGACCTCACTTTTCTGAAGGTTACCTTAGGCTCTGCTGTAACCATTAGGTTTTATGAGGCTCAGTTTTCTCAGGGGGCAGGACAATTGGTAACTAGATTCAGGTCCTTATCCTTTTATTTTGAGATTCATCTCTGTTAGAAGTGTTTTCCAACTTGGAAAAAAAAAATGGAGTGGTTTGCTAAGCTTGAAGGTATTTCACACATAGAAGTCCTATTTCATTTGACAACCTTCTTTTGCTGCCTGTCTCTAGAAAATATCAGCCCTTCTGCAGTGCTTTCTTGGGTATGAATTTAAAACAAATTGAGTATTGTTTTTCTAGAGTAACTTCATCAAGGATTACATCACACAAGGGATACTGGTGTATATTCCCTACACACCTATTTTTCCAGTCCATAAGCTTCACCTGGATTCCAAAGCCATGCAAAGTGAGAAACACCAAAGAGGAAAGGCCAGGGCTACATTCCACTACCCTTGGTGCAAAAGGATTCATCCAAGAGCTGTTTGAAAAACCAGACCCTTCATCAGTTCATAACTCAATCATGTACCTGGAAAGCCATCCAAAGGCAATAGATGTCAGCAGCCTGGTGGGTCAGCGTAGGAGTCTTGTTCCAGATGTCAGACAGATGTGTGCTCCCTGGGAGCAAGTCCCTGGGGGGGTTAGTCAGAGAGCACTGGCACTGCTCATCGTCCTGCAAGCCAAAACACAGCAGTTTTTTCCCCAGTTTTCAGATAGAGAAGAGGTTTCATTACATCAGACATTCTCTTCAGGGGACCTTCCAGACTAACCCGATGAAAACTGAGAATGTGTTCAAGGGCACAGACATTTCCTTGGGTCAAACATAAAACATTTAGCACACAACACACTTGACCAGCTCTAGCCACGATTGCCATCAAAGCCATGAAGTCTCTAAGAATAATCTCCTTTCTGGAGGGGAGCTACTGTCTAATGTTTTGCTCTCTGTAAAGCCACAGACAGCCGTGGTTGTTTCCAGCTGCAATACAACACCCCACCAACACCTGCCCAGCGTGGGGAGAACAGGGTTATCAGTCATCAATCCTGCTACAGCAGGAGTTGTCAGCTGGGAATACACAGGTGCCGGCATGCCTGCTTTCCAGTGCTCAGGAGATATTTTGTTCCTTGAAGGAACTACAAATTTTCCCAGTTTTTAGGATTCATTTTCCTTTTGTGCAAGGAGGACTGTGTTTTAGCCCAAGCCACCTGGCAAGCTCTCGGCCTTAAAAATCTTGAAGGACTCTCCTTTGGCATCTGTTGCTACAGGAGACTCTCCATGAGCTTTCCAGAGCAGGGCACTACAACACTCTTGTTATTAACAGAGGGAAGTTTAACAGGAATGGAGCAACTTGAGGAGGAAGTATGAACCACTTGGAAATACAAGGACTCATTAGGGTCATCAGCTTCTCTCACCGTGCTCTCCCCAACTGGACTTGAGATGGTTGAGTATCATTTTGGCTGGGTTTGTGTTTTCTTTCTTGAGCAAGTTTTTTCTCCTGATGGGCTGTCACGATGTCTTCTAGGAACGAAAATATTCATTGCATTACTCCAGTCCATTCTCCGTAACGTCTATGGTTCCACAAGAGAAACACAACTAAAAGTTATTAAAAACACTTCTATAGCCTTCTCATCACATGAAATTTGGGGGTGGAGGGAAGGAAGGAAAAAACCCTTAGCAATTCCTTATGAACTTAGATTCAGCAAAACATAATCCAAACACTGATGGCAAACTAACCCATTAAACTTCTTGCTAAATGAAAATTTCTTTCAAGACGTCATCTAGAATACATGGTTTAGTCTTGATTATTACGTGAGATGCCAAAGGAAAGAAAAAGGTTTCACCTCATTCTTACAAATCTCTGACAATAAATGCTTATATTTAACTGCCTTCCTTTCCCCTGCTCCTCCCACCGCAGGCTCCTTTCCGGCAGGGATCGGCTGGACCCCGGCAGTCCTGCAGCCACCGCTCGGGACCGCGCGGAGAAGGCGCAGCGAGCTCGTGGCTGCGCCCGCCAGAACGCGCAGGGAAGCAGGCGCGCACAAGGCGCGTTCGGCCCCTGGGCAGAAGGATCCCTAAAAAGAACAAAAGTGTTAAATGAGAGGGAACTGCTGGCAGAATCACAGAATATGCTGAGTTGGAAGGGACCCACAAGGAGCGTCGAGTCCAAGCCTTTGCCCTGCAGAGCACGAAAACCAAGAGTCATACTATGTGCCTTAACTCTCTCAGCCTTGGTGCTGTGACCACTGCCCTGGGGAGCCTGGTGCATTGCCCAACCACCCTCAGAGGGAAGAACCTTTCCCAAACATCTCACCTAAACCTACGTGGAAAAACCCTATTCACGTGTCAGTGGCGCAGAGCTGCGAGGCCTTCGCCACCCGCCTGCACCTGGAGCACGGGTAACCCGTGCCGGCGGCTGGGCCGTGCCTAGAGCTGACGGCCACGTCCAACTACACAAGCCAGCCCACCCGTGCCGCCGCTCCCCTGAAGCGGACCACGCGGCCGCAGCAGCGCGGCCCGGGAGAGCCTCACATGCGGCACAACACTGGGCTGAGCCGAGGCCTGGTGGCGATGACCAGCAACATGGCCCCCACCGTAAGCGGACTGGGCCATGGCCGCAGCCACTCTGGCTCCTCCGGGAGCCTCAACAGTGACAACACCGCCTCCCCACCCCCGTGAGAGAGGCGGCGGGCAAGGACCCGGGCCAGGGCCAAAACTATACAGACACTATATTACTGACTGTTTTTACATGTTTTACATATAAGCCTTTAGAAATTATTACAAATGTTTTTGTCTAAAATAATTTAGTTAACTGTCTTTAGTTTTCTATTTACACTAATAAGAGAGAAAAATTCAACATTGCCTTATTAATACATTTTTAAGTTCCCAATTTCCCTGTAGCTTTGTTTAAATTACTAATAGTCACATTTACTGAATATTGTTTAAAATTATTAAGTTCTTAAATATATCTAAATAAGTTTAAGTTTGTAACTATCTCATTTAAGTAGGAATTAGCATCTTTAAGAATTTCTGTTGTTATTAGTTAACAGATTATAATAGTAACCTACCTATTCATTTCTCTAAGTA